GTTGCATTGTGGGGTGTTCAATAAATGCCTTCAATTAAATTATTCTCCAAAAAAATAAGTACTTCAGCATCAGGACCTATACCCTGTGTGGCCAAATTCTCTCCTAGTTCCTTCTGTTGGAACCATTACATTTTTGTGAGGGGAAAGAGACTAGGTCCTGGAGCAAGTTCAGCAATTTTGCTGAAATCAGATGCCAAACTTTCCCTACTGTAGAGGTGGGGACAGCTGTAGTGAATGCTGAGACACCTTTGGTAAACTTGCTCGAGGCTCAGCTGTCCACCCACATGTAGGAGATTTTCGGAAGATTCCTCTCAGCTTAGCTTCCCGTTCCCGTGTGGTGTTTTCCATCCACTTAGAAAGATGGGTGAGGCTAGGAAAGACAGGTGATTGCCAGAAGTAAAAATCAGTAGGCTTAGTATTTCTGAGATGAGTCTTAGAATCCTAAAAAACTAAATAAAAGTGTTATATTTCTTTTTTTGTTTTGTTTTTTGTCTTTTTGAAGCAGGGTCTCCCTATAGCCCCAGCTGTCCTGGAACTCACTATGTAGACCAGGCTGGCCTTGAACTCACAGAGATCCGCCTGCCTCTGCCTCCCAAGTGCTGGGACTACAGGTGTGCACCACCACACCCGGCAAAAGTGTTTTATTTCTATGGCTTTACAAGAGTGCTAATCAAGAGCTATTACCTCTCTTAGGCTATTAAAAAAATCTGTATTTCACATGGTTTTAGTGTTAAGTGATAAGTACATTCATAAAGGAAAATTCAGTGTAACTGTTAAAAAGGTGGACTGGGTAGTGGTGCACTCCTTTAATCCCAGCACTCAGGAAGCAGAGGCAGGTGGACCTCTGTGAGTTCCAGGCCAGCCAGGGCTACATAGTGAGACCTTATCTCAAAAACAAAACAAAACAAAACAAAAAATAGGTGGGGCAGGGAAGAATGGAGAGACTTTAGAATACATTAAAAGAAACAAACAAACAAAAAAAGCCAGGAGTTGATACTGTCTGTAAATGGTACTTCTTCAGTTCAGAAAAAGGATTATTAGAATATACATATTTAGCTGGACAAAGTAACACTGGGAATACCCAGGAAACCAAGGAGCTGCTTGTAGAAGCAAAGTCAGCAGGGATGGGAAGGAAGTGAGGGTGTATAGCTTATGATATTTGATTTTTAAACCACGACAGTACATTAACCATTCAAAACAAATGCATTTATTGTTTTCTCTTGTCTTTAAGAATATCTTTTGAGGAGGCTAGAGAGATGGCTTAGCAGGTGAAAGCACTGGCTACTCTAGTTTTTTTTTTTTTTAGCATTTTTATTGAATTTTTGCGATTTCCAGACAATATAATTTGATAACATTTATATCCTCTCTCCCATCCACTCCTCCTTGCCCCGCCCCCCACTTAATTCAATGTACTCTCTCTAGGTAATAAAGCCTATAGAGTCTAACTCGAATCCCCAAATGTTCTCCAGCATGGACTCATCCACTCGAACTTGCATAGGACTTGAAGCACTGGCCACTCTTGCAGAGGACGCAGGTTTGGTTCCTAGCACCCATGCAGAGGCTTACAACTCCAGTTCCAGGGGGTCTTATGCTCTCTTCTGGCCTCTGTAGGCCTTCCATAAATGTGCTGCACTTATATATATGCAGACATAACATTCATACACATAAATTTTTTTTAAAAGAGTAAAAGTACTTTTTTTTTTTTTTTTGTTTTTTTGGGAAAGGGCTTTCCTTTAGCCCCAGCTGCCCTGGAACTCACAAAGATCCGCCTGCCTCTGCCTTCCAAGTGCTGGGATTAAAGGTGTATGCCACCATTCCCGGCCTAAAAAAGAATACTTTTTTTTTTCCAGTCTTTTTGAGACAGGGTCTCCCTGTAGCCCCAGCTGTCCTGGGGCTGTAGACCAGGCTGGCCTTGAACTCACAGAGATCTGCCTGCCTCTGCCTCCTGAATGCTGGGATTAAAGGCATGTGCCACCACGCCTAGCAAGAGTACTTTTTTAATAGAGATAAAATTCCAGAATCTGGGTGCTGGAGAGATGGCTCAGTGGTTAAGAATACTCACTGTTCCTGCAGAAGACCTGGGTTTGAATCCCAGCACCCACATGGCAGCTAACAACTGTCCTTAACTCCAGTTCCAGGGGAGATCCGACAGCCTCTTCTGTCCTCTGTGGGCATTGCACGACACGGATGCACTTACTTACATGCAGGCATAACACTCATACACATAAAAATAATAAAATGTTTTGAAAAAAAATCCAGAATCTGCCCATTTTTATTATAGAACTAAAATTCTGACTTTTTATATTATTTATTTATTTTCATTTAAAAATTTTTTTGGCAGTGCTGAGCAACTAAGAGTGCTTCATGCATGCCCTGGGAGAGCACTCTTCCACTGAACTACAGATACAGTCTTGCCAAGCTCTCTAGTTATGCTAGCACATAGTACCTTCTCTGATCCATGTAAGAATTCAAAAATTCTTTGTATATATATATATAATTTATTATTTTTATTTTATGTTTATGAGTGTATTGCCTGCATGTATGTGAGTGCACGCATGTCGAGCAATGCTACGGAGGTCAGAAGAGGGCTTCAGATTCCCCTGGAACTGGAGTAAAGGATGGTTCATAGCCGCCATGTGGGTGCTGGGAATTGAACCTGGGTCCTTTGCAAGAACAGGCAGTGCTCTTAACCACTGAGCCATCTCTCCAGCCCCTGCCTTAGCTTTTAATAGGGGAACATTCTTAGATGGAAAGATAAATGGGTGAAAATTAGAGAAGTGTATGTGATCATTTTGACAGTTATTTTCATTATAAGCAGACATATATAAGCAAATACATATAAGCATACATATAGATATATACATATACCAGTTCCTTGTAATTTTTATTAGTGTTAGTCAGTTCACCTAATGATTTTTGAAAATGTGTGACAGGCACTTGAGAGAGATGGCTCAGCAATTAAGAGTGTGTACTGCAGAGGATCTAAGTTCAGTTCCCAGGACCTCACAACCTCCTATAACTCCTGCTCCAGGGGGATCCAATGCCTCTGACCTCAGCAGGCACCTCCACTCATGTGCAAATATCCACACACATAGACACACTTCAAACAAACAAAAACCCCAAAACAAAACAAAAAACCTGTGTAACAGCTTTGGTAACTGCAGAAATTACTGTCCTGGATTAGGGAGATAGCTAGTCAAACCACTCACTGCATAAACCAGAGGACTTGAGCTTGGATCTCCAACACTCAGTAAAAATAGTCACATACCTGTTACCCCACATCGAGGGGGACAGAGATAGTATTGTTAGAGCTTGCTGTCTAGTCAGCCTAGCCAGACAGCAAGTTCCATGTTTAATGAGGACTCTTGTCTCAAAAAAGTAGGTGGAAGCTGGGTGTGGTGGCACACCTTTAATCCTAGCACTTGGGAAGCAGAGGCAGGCGGATCTTTGTGAGTTCGAGACCAGCCTGGTCTACATAATGAGTTCCAGGACAGCTGGGGCTACAAGGAGACCCTGTCTCAAAAAGACAAAAAAGAAAAAAAGTAGGTGGAGAGCAACAGAAGTAGATGATGTCAACCTCTGGCTTCTTCATGCCGACACACAGACACACACACCAGTACACCCATGTGTATGCACACAATTTTTTAAATGACTTTCCAGGCCTCAAGATGGTTAAGAGTACTAGCTGCAAACACCTGACAACCTGAGTTCAATCCCTGGAACCCACATAATCCCAGAACTTCTATAGCAAGGTGGTAGCTAGAAACCAGAGAATCTCCTAGGTGCTTGTGGGCTAGGTAGGCTGAGGTATATATATAAAACTCAGCAACAGAAACAAGAGAAACCCTGCCTCAACAAGGTGGATAACAAGAACTGACTCCTGTGATTGGTTTTGTTCTGATTTTTTCTCTCTCTCTCTCTCTCTCTCTCTCACACACACACACACACACATAAATATAAAAAATAAAGTAAAATAACTTTCTTTTTAGCCATCTCATGGTTTCTCATTAAAGTTGAAATAGAGTTTCAAAATCACAAGTACCTAAAAATCTACTGAAGCCAAGTTATGTTCTTAGGGAATATTTTGGTCTGTTTTCTGCTTTAACAATACTCAAGATGGGTAATTTATAATGAACAGAAATTTCTTGGCTCAGGGTTTTAGAGGTTGGCAAAACTCAGATGGAGAGTCTGACAGCTGGCACTAAACTGTTTTGCTGTGTCATTCCCTGGCGGAAGAGCTAAACACGTGAGATCAAACTTGTAGCTTTAAGCCCTTTTATAATAGGCATTAATCCATGCAAGGGTGGAGCCCTCATGGCGGCAACACCTACCAACCAACGCTTTGCATTGGGAGTGAAGCTCCACATACTTTTGGAGGGATATGTTCAAACCGCAGCAGAGAGCATAATCTCAGAGGCCATCTCTGAACTGTGGAAGTACTTATCATTTGTGGCAGGCTTAGTGTGTTGGAGAACTCACCTTTGTACATTCACATTTAAGTAAGGATTGCGTTGATGTATAAATTTACCCTGGGACTTGTCCTTCACAATCAAAGCTGCCCTGGTTTATTAGAGGAAGGACAAAGGCTTTTTGCTGCTTGGCTTTCTAACTATCAGTGTGTTATCATTTTAATGGCTTATGTAATAATATCAGTTACTATAATTTTTCCATCTGTTTCATGCCAGTGCAGCAGAGAACAGGCTGGGTCATCTAATTGGAATGCTATTTTTTAATCACAATTTTCATAATTCCTGTGAGTAAACATGGAAATCTTTCCAGAGAACTGTCAGTTTTTATACATGCGATGAATGTGCCAGTGATTTCTTCAGATTTTCTGTTTCCTATACTAATACCCACCCTCCCCAGATGGCCTGGAACTTAACTAGGTTGGCCTTTATCTCACAGAGATCTGCTTGCCTCTGCCTCCCCATGTGTTGGGATTAAAGATGTGTGCCACCACACCTGGCTTTTATACTAACATCTTACTGTTTCGCTTTTAGTACAGCCATGGTTGAGATTAAGAAGATCTGCTGCATCGGTGCGGGCTATGTTGGGGGGCCCACATGCAGTGTCATTGCTCAAATGTGCCCTGAAATCAGGGTAACAGTTGTCGATGTCAATGAAGCAAGAATCAATGCATGGAATTCTCCAACCCTTCCTATTTATGAGGTAAATATAGTAAACAAGCGTTTTCTTACCTTGTTAAATATTTTTTAAAATTTACTATTTTATATTTTATGTGTACGAATATATTGCCTGCATATGCGTAAGTGCACCTTTGTTATGCAGTGCCTGAGGAAGTCAGAAGAAAGTGTCAGATCCCCTGAAACTGGAGTTACTGATAGTTGTTAGCTGCCATGTGGGTGCTGGAAACCAAACCCAGGTTCTCTGCAAGAGCAGCCAGTGCTTTTAACTGCTGAGCCATCTCTCCAGCCCCTTTTTCCTCTTCTTTTTAAAGAAATCTTTTGAGATAGTGTCACTAAATTGTCTCGGCTAGCCTTGAACTTGTGATTCTTGTGCTTTGGCCTTCCAAGTAGCTAGGAATACAGGTTTGTATTCCCACTAGGCCCTGGGATTGCAATGAAAATACATGACTGCAACTAATAAGAAATTCAATGAATAAATTTGTGGCCTGGCAAGGTGGTGCATACCTTTGATCCCAGTTCTCAGCAGGGAAAGGCAAGAGGCCTGAAGTAAGTTCCAGGCCAGCCTACTCTACATAGTTAGTTCCAGGTCAAGCAGGACTACATAGAGAGACACAGACTCAAAAAAAAAAAAAAAAATTCTGGGGCCGGAAAGCACCAGTTAAGAGCACTGGCTGCACTTGTAGAGGACCCAGGTTTAGCTCCCAGCACCCACATCGAGTGGCTCACAACTGTCTGTCACACCAGTTTCAGGGAATCCAGTGCCCTGTTTTGGCTTCTCTGGGCACCTGTACACACATTGCACATACCACCCCCACAGTGTATAAATATGTAAAATAAATAAATGTAAAAAATAAAATAAAAGCCAGGTGTGGTGGCGCACGCCTATAGTCCCAGCACTTGGGAAGTAGAGGCAGGTGGATCTCTCTGAGTTCAAGGCCAGCCTGGTCTACATAGTGAGTTCCAGGACAGCTGGGGCTACAGGGAGACCCTGCTTCAAAAAGACAAAAAAAAAAAAATTTAATTAAATATATTTTATTTACTTTTATTTTATGTGTATTGCGTGTATTGCCTACATGTAGGTAAGTGCACCCATGTTGTGCAATGCCCGCGGAGGACAGAAGAGGCTATTGGAATCCCTGGAACTGCCATGTGGGTGCTGAGATTTGAACCCAGGTCTTCTACAAGAACAGCCAGTGTTCTTAACCTCTGAGTCATCTCTCTCTAGCCCATAAAAAAGTTTTTAATGGCCTCAGAACCATGACATAAAACGACTTGCAACTAGGTTGATTCTAGATCTATGGACCCTGAAGTAGCTTTCATTCTGCTGTGTAGTGTTTTCCTGTACTTTTAGTGTGGATATTATTTGAAGCTTTTCATCAAGGAAGAGTATATTTTAGTGCTTTAGATCTATTTTATTTTTGCTATGTGATTTGGAAACTTTCAGACATGTAATAAAAGCAGAGTGAGGGGCCAGTGCGATAGCTTAGTAGGTAAAGGCACTTGCCATGTAAGCCTGGTGCTCTCAGTTCAATCCTCATGTAAAGATGGAAGGTGAGAAACCATTCCACAAAGCTGTCTTCTGACCTCCACACATGAGCCCATGCATGTGTACGTGCATGCGCATGTGCGCGCGTGCACTACACACACACAAATAATAATAAAGATAATTTTAAATAAAAAATTATTTAGGGGGCTAGAGAGATGGCTCAGTGGTTAAGAACATTACCTGCTCTTGCAGAGGACCTGGGTTCAGTAACTCCAATTCTAGAGGGTCTGACACCCTCTTCTGGCCTTGGTGGGCATTGCATGTGTGTGGCACACTTAACATACATGCATACAAAACATTCATATATGTAAAATAAAAATAAGTTAAAGCCGGGAGTGGTGGTGCACACCTTTAATCCCAGCACTCTGGAGGCAGAGGCAGGCGGATCTCTGTGAGATCCAGCCTGGTCTACATAGTGAGTTCCAGGACAGCTGGGGCTACAGGGAGATCTTGTCTCAAAAAGACAAAGTTTATTTTAAAAAATGATTTAGGTGATGGTAGCAAGACTCCATAGTCTCTAAAATTAAAAATAAATGAATGCAGAGATAATAGTAAATGCATCCCCATGTACCATCACTATTTGAACAGTTGTGAACCATCTTGATTATTTGTAGTTTCATTCATTGTCATTGCATTAGGCATCTCCAAAGAATGATTCTTTCAGGTTGGTAGGGAAAGCACTTGTCACCAAGCCTGATGACCTGAGTTCAATTCCCTGGACCCACATAGTGGAAAGGGAGGACTGATTCCTGCAGGTTGTCTCTGATCTCCACATACATCCTGCGGCACACATGCATTACACTTAGACCCACCCAAAATAAATATAATTTTTACTTTTTAATAAAATTTTAAAGGTTATAAGAAGACATGTACCCTTCAGTTGTCCTTTTTTTTTTTTAACTTATTTTTATTTTTTTGGTCTTTTTGAGACAGAGTCTCCCTGTAGCCCCAGCTGTCCTGGGACTCACTATATAGACCAGGCTGGCCTTGAACTCACAGAGATCCACCAGCCTCTGCCTCCCAGGTGCTGGGATTAAAGGTGTGAGCCACTACGCCCAGTTAATTTTATTTTTATTTTCTTGCCTGCATGTAGGTAAGTGCACCCGTGGTCATGCAATGCCTGTGGAGGTCAGAAGAGGCTGTTGGATCCCCTAGGACTGGAATTACAGACAGTTGTTAGCTGCCATGTGGATGCTGGGATTCGAACCCCAGTCTTCTGAAAGAACAACCAGTGTTCTTAACCACTGAGCCATCTCTTCAGCCTCCCCTTCAGTTGTCTTAACATAAATATATCTCCAGTTAAATCATATGGAAAAAAGTAGCAAAGATTTTCAGTGTTTTCTTACAGGAGGACTTAAGAAAATACATACTGATGTATTTCTGTATAAAGTGAATAATGACTTTCACAACCACCTTTGGCCTGAATCTCTGGGAATAATAATCTTCATAATGACAGTGCAAAATCATGTTTACTTGAAATCACAGGGCCTTGAATTATGTGATAATTGAGTTGATTCTTAAGAGTTAATGGTTAACATCACCAAGGAAAATGGTAAATAATGACAGAGCATTTTAGAGCTGCTCCTCCATGGTGCAAGTCCAACTTTGCTTCATTTACTGATGACATGTGTAGTTACAATATTTCATGTATGGTCTTTGGTTTTCCTTGTTTCCTTTTCTCCTTTGGTTGACACAGTCTCTCCAGTGAGTCACTATGTAGCTCAGCCTTGCTTCAAACTTACAGTTCCCTTGTCTCAGTCTTCCAAGTGTTGGGATCAGAGGTATGCCACCATCCCCTACTCCCCCTCCCAATACTCAGCGATTTAAAAAGATGTTATTCGGAAATCTAGACTTTTAAATTGTAACATACCTATCCCCTTAACAAATGTAATTTTTACTGTTTATCTCATATGACTGATAATACTGTATGTGTACATACACCCCCCCCCTTGTTTTTTTTTCCTTTCTAGCCAGGACTAAAAGAAGTGGTAGAGTCCTGTCGAGGAAGAAATCTATTTTTTTCTACCAATATTGATGATGCCATCAGAGAAGCTGATCTTGTATTTATTTCTGTAAGTAGTTTTCTTTGCTATGTGAATTTTAATATTCTTGTCTATGTGAAACTTTCATTGCTTAATTTGCTATCAAGCCACAACATTGCTTAGTAAAGAACAGTCCTGTTGCATTTTGATGTTCATTTTGTCCGGCAGCTTATAAAACCTTATAATCACCTGGTTACATACATTGTTTCAAGTCATTGTTTTTTGTTTTATTTTTGTCTTTTTGAGACAGGGGCTCCCTGTAGCCCAGCTGGCCTGGAACTCAATATGTAGACCAGGCTGGCCTTGAACTCTGAACAGAGATTTGCCTGCCTCTGCCTCCTGAGTGCTGGGATTAAAGGCATGCACCACCACGCCCGGCTTTGTTTCAAATCATTGATCAAGTAAATTCAGAGGAAGACATGATCTGAGATCAGACCTAGGTGCTGTGTAAGCAGAGGGGGTGATAACATCTGTATGTCATCTTTTCTTATTTCCACTGGTTAAAAGAAGTGAGGCAAAGAAAATGATTTTGTTTGGAATTTGGCTTCAGCTGGTTATGTTATCAGTTATACTACAGATAAGTTCATTTCATAATGAAGTAAAAAAGAAAACTGATACTTGGGATTAAACACTAATTATGCAATATTTGAGCCACAGCAATTTATTTCTTGTTGTCCTGGTGACCATCTACTCAAATATTCTGTAAGCTGTCAGTAGGTGGTAGCCATGCTATGGTGTTTTATGACTCAGGACCTCTATGCTCTTAGGATTAAAGGAGAAATCAGTGGTGTGAGCTTTGACAGTGTCACATGAAATAAAGGAAGAAGCATCACAGACTCCAGAGAAACAGATGTTGCTGCTGAATTAGGTTTATTGTAATGACTAAATTGTTAAGAGGCTGTTTTCTGATTGTTGAGACTATTTTCTGACTGCTGTAAGAATATATGCACTCCAAAAGACCATGGTGATAAAGCCAGGGGTACAGCTGTGTTATGGATTCAGCCTTATTAACTACTTCAGAGAAGCTGATGTGGTTTGACTCACAGATCCTTCCTTTATTTTTTTTATTTTTTGGTCTTTTTGAGACAGGGTCTCCCTGTAGCCCCAGCTGGCCTGGAACTCACTACGTAGACCAGGTTGGCCTTGAACTCACAGAGATCTGCCTGCCTCTGCCTCCTGAGAACTGGGACTAAAGGTGTGCACCACCAAGCTGGGCCCTTTTTTTAAAGCTTTTTAAATTTTATTTTTATTTTGTGTGTCTGAGTGTTATGCCTGCATGAATGTATGTGTACCCATATTGTGTAGTGCTGGAAGAAACCAGAAGAGGGTGTTGGAGTCCCTGGAACTGTAGTTATGGTTATTAGTTGCCATGCCACTGGGTTTCGAACCTGGGTCTTCTGTAAGAGCAGCCAGTGCTCTTTACCGCTGAGCCATCTCTCCAGTCCCCTTCCTTTATTTAAGAGCATACAAAGTTAGCATAGCATTTCAAAACTCTTACTCTGCATTCTAGTTCCCTTATTTTCTGGGTCCTTTTGTTGCTTCCTTGTTTCCTTGTTACATACCGTATATTACAGAAAATAGCAAATCCATGCAGAAAATACAATGGTCCCCATTTGCCCAGTTCCTGCCATTAATAATTATCATGTTTTGTTTGCTACTTCTCTCCCCTTAATTAAAAAAAAATACTACATTTGTTTTTTTGTATGTGTGCACACCTATGCCATGGTACGTGTGTGTAGAGGTCAGAGAAGTTGTAAAAACTTCTCTCTCTCTCCACCATGTTGGTCTTGGGGATTGAACTCAGGTTGGCAGGTTTGGTGGCAAGCACTTTTACTTGATGAGCCACCTTGCTGGCCTACCCTTTTTTGAGTAAACCCTTCTGGAATCATTTTGTGGCAATCACTTTGAATTATCATTTGAAGCACATCTTCCATAAGGTTCTAAGTTCATCAAGAGAAGGATATCGGTGGTCTACCAGATAGATGGCTCAGTAGGTAAAAACACAGAGCTCCTTTACTGGGAGCGGCCGTCTAACTTCCCATCTGCGGCCAGTTTTACCTTCTTCCTTCAGGTAGCTTTGCCCTTCTCTGCTCCCTCACACCCTGCTTTCCACTGCTAAGAGGTATCCCAAGTTTTTCGATGCCTGTAAAAAACCTTTTTCCTCTGACTTTTTCATACCTCAACTCTATCTTCAAGTTTTGATTGCTTGATTCCCTTTATTTCATCTTCCATAAGGTTATAAGTTCATCAAGAGAAGGATATCGGTGGCCTACCAGATAGATGGCTCAGTAGGTAAAAACACCACAGAAATCTGATACCCTGAATTTCATCCCCAGATGAAATCCCATAGCATGGCTACCACCTACTGATAGCTTACAGAATATTTGAGTCATTTTCTTCTGTGGTGGAAGAAAAGAACCAACTTCTAAGAGGTTTCTGACCTCTACAGGTTCACTGTGGCATGCACATGCCCAGACTCAGACACACATATCACACACAATAATATTAAATACATTTTTTTTTTTTTTTGGTTTTTTTGAAACAGAGTCTCCCTGTAGCCTCAGCTGAGCTGACCTGGAACTCACTATGTAGACCAGGTTGGCCTTGAACTCACAGAGATCTGTTTGCCCCTGCCTCTGTCTCCCAAGTGCTGGGACTACAGGCATGTGCCACCACAACTAGCTGCAAGCATTTTTTTAAAAGGCTGTTGATAACTTGCTATAACAATAAGGGGAAGGGAAGGAGTTCAAAGTTCATTTTTGTTGTGGTAGGTTTTTTTTTTGAGACATAGCCCCAACTGTCCTGGAACTCACTATATAGACCAGGTTGGCCTTGAACTCACAGAGATCTGCCTGCCTCTGCCTCCTGAGTGCTGGGATCAAAGAAGTATGCCACTCAACCCAGCTCAAAGTTCATTTTTATTTATTTTAAAAATTTATTTATTGATTTATTTTTGGTCTTTTTGAGACAGGGTCTTCCTGTAGCCCCAGCTGGCCTGGAACTCGCTATGTAGACCAGGCTGGCCTCTGCGTCCCAAGTGTCAAAGTTCATTTTTAAAGTCCATAGTAATATGGTATAAGACCTTGGTAACTGGGCACTCCTATAGGATGAGAACCTGTTCTTTCATTCATTTCTCCAGGGCTTGGTTTGGTACTGTCTGCCTTGGAATCTGGTACTCTTAGTAACTCTTTCACAAAAATACGGAATGAGTTTTCCAAACGCTTCAAGTTGTTTCTTCTAGTGATTCTTCTAGTGTATAAAATACATTGTTTGTGGCCGGGCGTGGTGGCGTACACCTTTAATCCCAGCACTCTGTGAGTTCAAGGCCAGCCTGGTCTACAGAGTGAGTTCCAGACAGCTGGAGCTACAGGGAGACCCTGTCTCAAAAAGACCAAAACAAACAAACAAACAAAAAATACATTGTTTTCATAGGGGTTAAAATCATGACTACCTTCGGTTGTTAACTTCCCACTTGGGGGTCTGGGGACTACCTTGAAACCACTGAGTAGCTTTCACGGATGTCCATTTTTTATCCCAAATACTTTCATTAGGTGAACACACCAACAAAAACCTATGGAATGGGGAAAGGCCGAGCAGCAGATCTGAAGTACATTGAAGCTTGTGCTAGGCGCATTGTGCAAAACTCTAATGGGTACAAAATTGTGACTGAGAAAAGCACAGTCCCTGTGCGGGCAGCAGAAAGTATCCGTCGCATATTTGATGCCAACACAAAACCCAACTTGAATTTACAGGTATAAAAAAAATGAAACATTAGAATCTGATTCTTCCTGTGTAAAGATTTATGCCTTAAAAGTTGCTTATAATTAATTCTAGCTAAAACTTTCTTTTGTGTTGCAATTCTAGGTGCTGTCCAACCCTGAGTTCTTGGCAGAGGGAACAGCCATCAAGGACCTGAAGAACCCAGATAGAGTACTGATCGGAGGAGATGAAACCCCAGAGGGCCAGAAAGCTGTGCGGGCACTCTGTGCTGTGTATGAGCACTGGGTTCCCAAAGAAAAGATCCTCACCACCAACACTTGGTCTTCAGAGCTTTCCAAACTGGTTAGTGCACAGTTTCTAACTCTTCATTAAATGTTTTTAGCCAGGTGTGGTGGCACATGCCTTTAATCCCAGTACTCTGTGAGTTCAAGGCCAGCCTAGTCTACATAGGGAGTTCCAGGCCAGCTGGAGCTACAGGGAGACCCTGTCTCTGAAAGACCATTTAAAAAAAAAAAATCTGTTGTTGTTTTTAGGCAGGGTCTCTCTATGTTGCCCACGCTGACCTTGAATCAGAATCGTCCTGCTTCAACCTCCTGAGTGTGGGGATTATAGCAGCATCATGTCCAGTAAAATATCTATTTTGTAATTCAACATATATTTTCTTATCAACTCTCTCATTGTCTCCTCAAAATGAGCTCAATATCTTTTATACCTGCTCAGTAATTTGTATCACCTCAACAAAGTCTAATACCAATGTATGAAATTGCTTTTTTAAGTCATCATCCTCACTCCCCTCTTTTTTATTTAAAGGCAGCAAATGCTTTCCTTGCCCAGAGAATCAGTAGCATTAACTCCATCAGTGCTTTGTGTGAAGCAACAGGTGCTGATGTGGAAGAGGTAGCAACAGCCATTGGAATGGACCAGAGGATTGGAAATAAGTTTCTAAAAGCCAGTGTTGGTAAATAAAATTTTTCTCTACATAAAGGTTTCCTGCTTTATGGGAGTTCTTTTGGGTTTTTTTGCTGTTGTTATTTGGGTTTTTCATTTGTTGTTTGTTTTTGTTTTTGATGTTTGATTGTTTTGCTTTTGGTCTTTTGAGACAGGGTCTCCCTGGAGGCCTGGCTGCCCTCCATCTTACAGAGATTCACCTGCCTCTGCCTCTGCCTCTGAGTGCTGGGATAAAAGGCCATGTCACCATGTCCAGCTGTTTGTTTTTTAATTTAACAGCCTAAGATTCTAGAGCCAGCAAGATGGGTCAGGGGATAAGGTTATGCCAAGCCTATGGTCTGGAGTTCAATCCCCTGAACCCACATAGTGGAAGAAGAAAACTAACTCCCACAAATTGTCCTCTGACTTCCACACATGTTCTGACATCCACATAGTACCTTCCTATTTATTAGTTTGTAAAGATTAAATGACTGGCATGGTTGTACATGTCTGTAAATCTTGCACTTAGGAAGTAGAGGCAGGACAATCAGGAGCTTGAGGCCAGTGTCTGCTATATAAGTTATCAGTCAGCTTTTGAGCTTGCTGTGTAGTCTAGCCAGGCCGTGATTCTTCTGTGCTCCTGCCACAGTCCTCCAGGTAGCTGAGATTATTAACAGGCCTGTACCACCAGGACTGGCCATAGCATATTCACCTATCACCCATTCTATAAATTCACCTTTACATCAACTTACATCTCCAAATGGTCAGTTCTTATTTGTGGTGGGTGTACTTATGAAGTCACTATAAACACTTTGTAGAGCACAGCTTAGTGAGCTCCTCTCTCAAAATAAACATTAAAAGTGTTGGAGTTATGGCTTACTGTTAAGAGTGCTTGCCTAGGATACTTAAGACTTGAAGTTCAGTCCCAGGACCTCCCTACACACACACACACACACACACACACACAAGTATTTCTGAGGCTGTATTTTTTTTGGTCTTTTTGTTTGTTTTTGAGATAGGGTCTCCCTGTAGCCATAGCTGGCCCAGAATTCACTATATAGACCAGGCTGGCCTTACTCACAGAGATCCGCTTGCCTCTGCCTTTTGTTCTGGGATTAAAGGCGTGCGCCACCATGTCCAGTGGTATTTCACTTTTTAGTACTGGTTTCCCTGGCCTTTTTGATGTTTTCTCTAACTATAATTTTTTAAAAATATTTTATTATTTTTATTTTATGTGTATGAGTATATTGCTTGCATGTAGGTAGGTGCACCTGTGTTGTGCAATGCCTGTGGAGATCAGAAGAGGGGGTTGGATCCTCTGGAACTAGAATTATGGATGATTGTTAGCTACCATGTGGGTGCTGGGAACTGAACTTGGGTCCTCTGCAAGAACAGTCAGTGCTCTAAACCGCTGAACCATCTGTCGATATCCCCAACTATAATTTCATTTTAAAAAATAGTTACTATTTAGCTGGGCATGGTGGTGCACGCCTGTAATCCCAGCACTTGGGAGGCAGAGGCAGGCGGATCTCTGCGTTCAAGGCCAGCCTGGTCTACATAGTGAGTTAGTGAGTTCCAGGACAGCTGGGGCTACAGGGAGACCCTGTCTCAAAAAGACAAAAAAAAAAAAAAAGTTACTATTTACAGAAGGCATATTATGTGCCAGGTTCTATATCTGTTTCTCTCTCTCCAAGGTCTCAAGTAGCTCCAACTTTAAACTTGCTAAGTAGCCAGGCTGACCTCAAACTCCTGATCTTCCTTCCTCTACTTTCCAAGTGCAGTGATCACAGATGTACACAACCACACTGAGCTTCATTTAATCTTTGTGACCCAATAGAAGTAGTTCAAAGGTGAGCACACTTTGACCCAAATCCACCCCACAGCTTGTAAATGTTAGGGGAACAGTCATACCACACCCACAGCCTATTGTCTTTGTGACAGAGATTTTATGACCTTCAAAACTGAAATATACACCATAAAAATTACTAACTATGGTAAAGATGTAGGGCACACCAGATGAGTGCTTTGATTCCCAGCACCCACATGGCAGCTACGAACCGTCCTTAACTCCAGTTACAGGGGAGTCTGACCTCTGTGGCATTGCATGACACGGGTGCATTCACACACATGCAGGCAATACACTCATACACATAAAAATAATAAAATAAGCCATGCGTGGTGGCGCACGCCTTTAATCCCAGCACTCGGGAGGCAGAGGCAGGCGGATCTCTGTGAGTTCAAGGCCAGCCTGGTCTACATAGTGAGTTCCAGGAGAGCTGGGGCTACAGGGAGACTCTGTCTCAAAAAGACCAAAAAAAAATATTAGGGAAAAAAAGGCAGGGCAGAGAAAGGTCAGAGGTACAGTAATGAAACCTGTGTCATAGAATTATTGGGAAATTACTTGAAGAGTTGAGCAGCCACCTGTAAATGTCATAGTGTATAAATCCACTAACTTTTTTCCCTTTTCTTTTTGATACAGGGCTTCATGTAGTCCAGGCTGGCCTCAAACTCACTGTATAACTGAGGCTCACCTTGAATTTCTTATCTTCCTGCCTCTGCCTCCCAAGAGCAAAGATTATAGGCATGTTGCCTACATGACCACCAAAAATTAATTTTATACTATCTGAAATTTAATTAAATTTTAATTTATTTATCACATATGTGTCTGTGGGCACACATACTCATGTGTCACAGCGTGCCTATGGAGGTCAAAGGACAGCTTTCGGGAGTCAGTTCTCTCCTACCATGTGAGTCCCAGGGATGGAACTCTGGACATCATGCTTGGCAGTAAGCGCCTTTATCCACTGAACCATCTCTGTGGCCCCTGAATTTTATTACTTAAAATCTTAGTATAAGCCAGGTGTGGTGCCATTAATCCCAGCACTTGGGAGGCACAGGCAGATGGATCCCTATGAGTTCGAGGCCAGCCTGGTCTACATAGTGAGTTCCAGGCCAGCCAGGGCTACATAGTGAGACCCAGTCTCAAAAAAAAAAAGATTCTTAGTATGAGCACATTGGTTTTGAATCTTATCTGGAAATATTTTCTGAGTTTTTGTTTTGTTTTCTCTCTCTTAGGTTTTGGTGGAAGCTGCTTCCAAAAAGATGTTCTGAATTTGGTTTATCTCTGTGAGGCTCTAAATCTCCCTGAAGTAGCTCGTTATTGGCAGCAGGTATTAATCTACACTCACTAGCTTCGGATTAAATTCTAATTAAACAGGGCACCCTTGGTGAAATGGTTTGTTGTTGTTTTTTTTATTATTTTATTTATTATTTTATGTCTTTGAGTGTAGTACCTGCCATGTAGGTAAGTGCACCCGTGTCATGCAGTGCCTGCGGAGGACAGAAAAGGCTGTTAGATCCCTTGGAACTAGAGTTATGGACAGTTGTTAGCTGCCATGTGGGTACTGGGAATCGAACCTGGGTCTTCTGCAAGAACAGTCAGTGTTCTTAACTGCTGAACCATCTCTCCAGCCCTGGTGAAATGTTTTTGATAGAATTTGTTGTGGGAACTCAACCAGTTTACTGGTTGAAGACCTCGTCAGGTTTATTTAATGCTTATCTGTTTTTATGTTTTATTTATTTATTCATTTATTTATTTATTTATTTATTATTTATTTATTTGGTCTTTTTGAGACAGGGTCTCCCTGTAGCCCCAGCTGTCCTGGAACTCACTATGTAGACCAGGCTGGCCTTAACTCACAGAGATCCACCTGCCTCTGCCTCCCAAGTGCTGGGACTACAGGCATGTGCTACCACGCCCGGCTATTTTTTATTTTTATAAATATGGAATGCTTCATAAATTTGCCTGTCATCCTTGTGCACAGGGCCATGTTAATCTACTCTGCATTGTTTCAATTTTATTTATTTTTTTTATGTCTAGGGCTTTTATTTCTTCCAGTACATTAAACCATGAATTCATAGGGAATGGGCTCCAGCAGCTCAGGCTCCTTTCTGTTAGTTCTCACAGTGTGCTTCTCTGGGTGGGGCGGGCTGGTGCTTTAGTTGAACCCAGGATCCTTTCTCTTTGGCTTCCTTTTTTTCTGGTCATTTTCCTTCACGCGTTTCAGGAAGCTGTCTCGGCTCTTAGAGTGCTTAATATGCTCAATACACACATTAATTCTCTTGGAAAGAATCTTGCCCTTAACTTGCTTGTTTACAACAGTGCCAACAGCATGCTGAGTGACGTTGTAGACTCTCCCAGTTTTGCCATGGTAGCATTTATGGGGCATTCCTTTTTGAACAGTACCCATTCCCTTAATGTCTAAAATATCACCCTTCTTGTAGATTCGCATGTATGTGGCCAAAGGAACAACTCCATGTTTTCTAAAAGGCCTAGAGAACATGTAGTGGGTGCCTCTCCTCTTTGCCTTTGTGTTTGTCATTTTGGCGAATCACTGGAAGATGGCTGCTCCAGCAGAAAGCTCGTTTCAATTTTACTGAAGCGAGCACGGTATCTGTTTTTATTTAGTCTTTTAACTATGATGGACCTTTCTGATACATCATTTTTTAACTATGATGGACATTTCTGATACTCTAATTTTATAACTAAATTTACTCCCAGAATAAATCAAGAGCTAATATTGTCCTTTATAATCAGGTATGCATTTGAGACAGGGTCTTATGTTGCCCAGTCTGGTCTTGCTGTGTAGCTGAGGATGACCTTGAGCTGCTGATCCCCTTCCTCCTGAGTGCTAGGATGATAGGCCTCTGTCACCATGTAAGACAGGGTTTCATTGTAGTCCAGGCTGGTCTGGAACTTTCTGCGAAGTGCAAGCTGGCTTGAACTTGTTTTCTTCCTGCCTGAGGCTCCCAAGTGCTAGGATTATCTCTGCCACCAAACCAGGCATAATTTTTTATCATGAAAAGCATCAAACTACAGGAAGATGGTGCATTGTAACTTTCAAGTGGCTTGCCTTTGTGGAGGCTTTTTTTCCCCTTTCAGTTTCACAGAGCTAAAATGAGAACTATTCCCAGCATATCAAATGCTTGCTGAGTCCATATACTTTTTGAGGCACTTTGCATGTAGGAACTCGTGTAGTGCTCATCACTTAACTATCCCCCAATTGGTACTCACAGAAACTAGGTAATTTGACCAGGGCAGTGGATGCACTTTTCCCAAATGTTTTCCCTGAATTTCTAATCTTTCAGATTTCAGCAACAGATATGGGGGAGAGTCTACAGAAATGCTTAATACTTTCTGTGTCATTTCACTCAACTTAGCAAGTGGCTTTAGTTTACTATTCATTGTGTGCAAAACATAGATGAAATCCTGATTTTTCCCATACTTTGGGTTTATTTCCTAAGCTCCCAAGGTATAAGACAGTCCCTAGAAGCTTAACACCTTTAAAAAAGCCCTTCTTTTTTGGCCAGGCGTGGTGGTACACACCTTTAATCCCAGCACTCGGGAGGCAGAGGCAGGTGGATCTCTGTGAGTTCAAGGCCAGCCTGGTCTATATAGTGAGTTCCAGGACAGCTAGGGCTACAGAGTGACCCTGTCTCAAAAAGATTAAAAAAAAAAAGCACACCTTGTGACCAGCTTACATGTAAGAGTAGAGTGCTCAGATACTCCTCTGATATTTGGTTGAAGACTTCATCCAGTATTTATGGTATTTCAGTTTGTGCAGAAGCGGCTCTACCTCTGTCTGGTCTGTTCCTTACCGTTTTCTCCTCGCAGTGATTTTGATGAATGCTGCACTAACCTGCGCTCTGAGACTTGATTGTGGACCGCCCATTCCCACAAGAGTTACAGAAGTCAGCTGAGGCGAATACTATTATTTTTATGTGCCTTATTTAGGCTGGCCTTGTGGCTGGATCTCAGATACCCTCAGAGGTCAAACCAAGCAGTGTCCCTGTCTTTGCATCTACCCCAGCCTAATGCACAACAGATCAAGCCAAATGAAAATTAATGTTTTTAGGAAGACTCTAAGGAAGGGAATTGGTGGACTTTAGATTTAAAAATTTGTATTTTTATTCTTTATGTATATGAGTGTTTTGCCTGCCTGTATGTATGTGCACCCATGCATATAATGCTCGTGGAAGTCAGAAGAGGGTGTTGGGTCCTCTAGAACTGGAGTTACAGATAGTTGTTAACTGCCACTTGGATGCTGGGAACTGAATCAGGGTTCTCTGCAAAAGCAGCTAGTGCTATCTCTCCAGTCCCCTAAATTTTCATTTTTAAATCTTTGGACAGCAGAGTGTTTTATAATCTTTGTCTTCTGTTAATATGTAAGCTTTATATTTCATAGCATTCACTGAAACTATGTGTATACCATAGGCTACCCTGTCTTAAACTAATGCTGCATAATTATACATGTAATTTCAGGTCATAGACATGAATGACTACCAAAGGAGGAGGTTTGCTTCCCGGATCATAGACAGTCTGTTTAATACAGTGACTGATAAGAAGATAGCTATCTTGGGGTTTGCATTCAAAAAGGACACTGGTGATACCAGGTAACAGTTTTCTAAAACATTTAGAACATAAAATTTTTTTTGTGTTTTTTTGAAACAGGGTTTCCCTATAGCCGCAACTGGCCTGGAACTCACTATGTAGACTAGGCTGGCCTTGAACTCAAAGAGATCCATCTGCTTCTGCCTCCCAAGTGCTGGAACTACAGGTGTGTGCCACCACACCCAGCTACAACATAAAATATTTAAAAAAAAATATTTACTAGCTGAGTGCACACCTTTAATCTCAGCACTCAGGAGGCAGAGGCAGGTGGATCTCTGTGAGTTCAAGGCCAGCCTGGTCTACACAGTGAGTTCCAGGCCAGCTGGGGCTACAGGAAGACCCCGTATCAAAAATACAAAAAAAAAAAAATTTTTTTTTTACTGTGTGTGTGTGTGTGTGTGTGTGTGTGTGTGTGTGTGTGTTCATAGGTGCACTATGGTACACATGTGAAGGACAGAGGACAACTTTGAGGAGTTGAGTCTCTTCTTCACAGTGGGATCTGCTTTTACCTACTAAGCCATCTCTCTGGCCCTCTTTAAAATATTTCAGGGCCAGCAGTGGGGTAAAGGCACTTGCCACATGACCTGAGTTCAATCCCTGGGACTCACCTAGTAGAAGAAGAAAACCAACTCATGCAAATTATCCTGTCCTCTACATGGGCACTGTGGCACACTTGTACACACACATACACATGCACACACACACACACACATAAATGTAAAAAACAAACAAAATGAAAAATAATATTTCAAAAACTTTGAATGTATGGCAACGCTTTATCCTGATCTTTTGAGTGGTGGATGTATGTGTTGAAGGACATGTGTATGTGTATATATGTATATGCATATATGTATGTGTTTTCTGTAGTATTCACAGGTTTTCTGTAGTATTCTATTCTCTGTGTATTATAGAGAGTCAATGGCACCTGCATCCTCTCCACTCAGTTTACAAAATAGGATGTTACCTGTATCTTACATTTTCTGGTTTTAGAGTGAGCCATTTAAAGCAGTGTTGATTTGTTTCTCTTTTAGAGAATCCTCCAGTATCTATATTAGCAAATATTTGATGGATGAAGGTGCACACCTCCATATATATGATCCAAAAGTACCCAGGGAACAAATAGTCGTGGATCTTTCTCATCCGAGTGTTTCAGAGGATGACCAAGGTAGGGCTTTGTGTTTCATGAACCATTTTGTATACAACCCAAGAAACTGTTGTTCTCTAGAAACCTTTGGTTGACTGGGGTTTTGTTTTGTTGTTTTTTTGGGGGGAAGGGGGGCTTGGTTTTTGTTGTTGTTGCTTTGAGACAGGGTCTCACTGTGTAGCCCTGGTGGGCCTGGAACTGGCTATGTAGACCAGGCTGGCTTCAAACTCACAGATCCTGCCTGTGCCTCCTGAGTGCCAGGATTAAAGGTATTCACCACCATGTGACATCAGCTGTGTTTTAATCCAATAATTTTTGCTGAGGGTGGTAGCTCAGTAGTACTACATAAAGCCCTGAAGAGTCACAGGAAATACATCTGAAGAAAGTTTGGGGGAGCCTATCATCCCCCCTGGCTCCCCATCATTCCCATTCACCCAACTAGATTGTTCTACTTCTGTCAGGCATTTCATCCTATAGTTCTAGTGTTAAAATACATAACTTCAAATAACTTGTTTCTCATTTCTGTTTTGGTTATTGTTTCTGTTTTTATAGTGTCCAGACTGGTGACCATTTCCAAGGATCCATATGAAGCATGTGATGGTGCCCATGCTGTTGTCATCTGCACTGAATGGGACATGTTTAAGGTGTGTATTAAGAAAATTTCCAGAGGTATTCTCATATCAGCCAGGGTTGAATGTGAATTCACATGTGTGTTCTTTATTTAAAATACTTTATTATTTTTATTTTATGTATATGAATGTATTGCCTGCATGTGTGTAAGTGCACTCGTGTCATGCAATGCCCACGAAGTCAGAAGAGGGCGTTGGATGCCCTGGAAGTGGAATTACCAATGGTTGTGAACCAAACCCAGGTCCTCTTCAAGAGCAGCCAGTGCTCTTAACTACTGAGCCATCTCTCCAGCCCCCTCACATGTGTGTTCTAATTGTTTGTTATGTCTTCACAGGAACTAGATTATGAACAAATTCATAAAAAAATGCTGAAGCCAGCCTTTATCTTTGATGGACGACGTGTCCTGGATGGGCTCCACAGTGAACTGCAGACCATTGGCTTCCAGGTAATATCAGGAGTCTGGACTGGTTTTTTTGTTAAGTTTGGGCTGACCATTTTCTTTTTTATCTTATTTATTTGTGTGTGGGGGGGAGGGGCGATCAGAGAGGATGAGTTTGTAGAGTCAGTTCTCTCTACTTTTATGTGGGTTCCAAGGATCGGACTCAGGTCTCTAGGTTTGTGTGCTAGGTGTCTTTACCCTACGAGTCATCTTGCTGGCCCATACCTTTTTTTTATACATCTTTTCACATGATTTTTATTTTGGAGGAGGGTCTTGTTGTATAGCCCAAGCTGGTGACAGACTTGATCCTCCTACAAAATGTGGGATTACAGGCATTTGCCACTGTGTTCTGCATTCATGTAGTTACTGTGGCCCTTTTTATTAAGCCCATTGTGTGGGTTTTAGAATTTTCATGTTTTCTCATTTAGTAGTAGTGTGACTCTGGGGCAAGAGGTCAGTTCTCTGGGAAATCTCTGCGTTTTGTGGCTGCTCCACTCCCTCTCTGTAATGCACAGCTCATTTAGTGTTGACCTTTACTTAGTTCAGAGGCATCAGGTGCCTGACATATAGAGACAGAATTGTGCCCTGTCTTACCTCATATCATGAAAGTCAAGTAAGAAAATGCACTATAGTTATATGGTATGTGCTTTGTCATTCCCAGCTGAGCCTCTTAACCCAGTGAAGATCTGGGTGAGGGGTGGGGTTGATGGTGGTGATGAGAAAGTGCTCCACCATGGCATCAGCATTCCCGTGTGGGAATAGCTGTTGTCCACCTCACCAGGTGCCCAGGTCTATCAACTGGTATTCATCCTATACCTTTCACACACTCAGCACTGTGCCAGTGCTATGAGAGATCTGAGGGGAGAAGATGGGGGCCTTGCGCAGACAGGCCCTCTTCTCAGCCAGGTTTGTCAGTTTGGAAAACTGACAGAACCTCTGTCCAGAATCGTGCATTTATTTGTTCCATCTCTTTCAATTCTACTAGGATTCCTACCAAAGAGTTATTTGCTCCCTCCTCAGAGCAGTGTTTATGTAGAGTAGGAGGCTAGGGTGGGGCTACAGAAGGATGCCAGAAGACGGCTATCAGCATGGTGTGCAAGTGAAGTAGAAAAGGGCCGTGTTGGTAGCTGCTACGTGCAGCTCCCCAGTGCCAGTGGACTTGGAGAGGTACCAGGAAAGCCTTATCTGCACTTCAAAAATACTGGCTCTGGTTTCCTTAACCTCTCACTCATTTGTTAAAGGTCCTTCTTAGAATTCAGTGCCCATTTTTCTCATTTGGGAGAAACTGAATTGCAGATTGCAGCTAGAGTCAGCTGGTATCTGTAACTTGTCATCTATAACTCTCATCAAGGACTTTGGAGATAACTCCATCCTGCCCCTTCCTAGTGAGCAGCATGAGTGCTTTTCCCAGTTCTGCCTTGAACTCAGGAGGGGTTTTGTTGTTTGATTTTTTTTTTTTTTTTTTTTTTGGTTTTTTTGAGATAGGGTCTCCCTATAGCCCCAGCTGTCCTGGAACTCACTATGTAGACCAGGCTGGCCTTGAACTCACAAAGACCCCCCTGCCTCTGCCTCCCAAGTGCTGGGATTAAAGGTGTGCCACCACACCCGGCTGATTTTTGATTTTTTTTTTTTAATGTGTCTGAGTATCTGACTGAATATAAGTGTACCTATGTCATATAGTACCTGTGGAGGCCAGAAGAGGGGACCCCCCTGGAACTGGAATTACAGAAGGTTAGCCACTGTGTGGGTGCTGGGAATGGTACCCAGGTCTTCTGCAAGAGCAGCCAGTGCTCTTAATTGCTGAGCCATCTCTCCAACCCCAGGAGTAATACATTTATTTACTTATTTATTTTTGATAGGGTCTCACTATGTAGACCAGGCTGACCTCAAACTCATGGAGATCCATCTGCTTTTGCCTCCCTAGTGCTAGGATTAAAGGTGTGTGCCACTATGCCTGGGCAAGAACTGTTTAGGTTTTGCTTTGTTTTGGTCTTTTTGAGAGTTTCCCTGTAGCCCCAGCTGGCCTGGAACTCACTTTGTAGATCAGGCTGGCCTTGAACTCACAGAGGGCTGCCTTCTATCTCCTGCACCACCATGCATGTCACTGTTTTTTTTTTTTCTTTTTTTTTTCTACATATGAGTTATTTGCCTGCATGTGTGGGGTTTTTTTTTTTTTTTTGCATCTTTTTGAGATAGGGTCTCCCCAGCTGGCCTGGAACTTGCTATGCAAACCAGGCTAGCCTCTGCTCTTGAAGAGATCCACCTGCCTCTGCTGGGATTAAAGGCATATGCCACCACACCCAGCCCTATTGCCTGCATGTAAGTAAGTACCACTGTGTGCAATGCAATGTCCCTGGAGGCCAAAAGAGGTTGGCAGATTTCCTGAAACTGCAGTTACAGATGATTGTTAGCCACCGTGTGGGTGTTGGGAACTGAATGCATGTCCTATGGAAGAGCAGACAAGTGCTCTTAACCACTGAGCCATCTTTTCAACCTCAGGAGTATTATTTTTAAAACATGATTTCTGCTGGGTATGGTGGTGCACATCTTTGGTCTCAGTACTCAGAAAGCAGAGCCAGGTGGATCTCTGTGAGATCAAGGCCAGCCAGGCTTACATAGTGAGTTCCAGGCCAACCAAAGAAACACAGTAAGACCTTGTCAAAAAAAATCAAAATAAATTAAAATATTTCTAAGACCCAGACACCCCTGATTCCTGTTTTATTTTTCATCTAGGGAAAATATAGACAGATACATATTTAAAACAGTTTTGACCTCCTAGAAAATTTAACTCTCCCTAGTAAAGATTTTTTTATTTTATTTTATATGTATGCATGTATTGCCTGCATGTAGGTAAGTGCAGCCATGTTGTGCAATGCCCATGGAGGACAGAGAGGTTGTTGGATCCCCTGGAACTGGAGTTATGGACAGTTGTTAGCTGCCATGTGCGTGCGGGGATTCGAACTCAGGTCTTCTGCAAGAACAGACAGTGTTCTTAACTGCTGAGCCATCTCTTCAGCCCCAAGATTTTTTTAAAATAAAGTATTTTATTATCTTTTTAATTTTATGTGTATGAGTGTATTGCATGCATGTGTGTAAGTGTACCCATGTTGTACAATGCCCATGGAGGGCAGAAGAGGGGATCAAATTCCCTGGAACTGGAGTTACAGATGGTTGTTAACCACCTTGTGTATGCTAGGAACTAAACCCGGGTCCTCTGCAAGAGCAGTCAGTGCTCTTAACCACTAAACCATCTCTCCAGCCCCTAGTAAAGATTTTTTTTTTTTTTAAATTAGACTGTGTGTCTTGGCACATTTCTATAATCCCTGTGGGAGGCATCTGGCAGAAGCATCAGGAGTTTAGGGGCATCAACTACATAGGTAGTTCCAGGCCAGGATGAGCTATATTAGACCTTGTCTCAACAATAAAACAAGGAATAGAATCACTAAGGAGAAAATATGTCACTAAATAATAGATTAATATAAAAAGTTCTTTGAAAAGTAAATCAGAATTAAAGAATTTCAGTTAAATGGAGTAGTGTGTTTATCTATAATAGAGGGGAGATAAGCCCCTGACCCTTAAGGAAGTGGTGTGTTTCTTTCTCTTTTAAAGATAAGATTGGTAATTCCAAGTGTGGTGGTACCTGTCATCCCAGCACTTGGGAGGCCAAAGTCACAGGCTCTGTGAGTTTGAGACCAGGTCTACATAGCAAGACCCAGTCTCTGTAAGCCAAAACAAAACCATAAAATTGGGGTGGAGCTTGATTCTAGAACAGAAAATAAAGGAGCCAAAGATTTCTTGGAAATTCGGGTAACTTGAGAAATGTTTTACTGCTGTAAAAAAATCATCTTGTTGCCCCCTTATCCCTAGAGCTCTTATATATGTGTGCTGTGATTATTAATGGTTCTCTTAATTTTTTTTTTCTCTTCAGATTGAAACAATTGGCAAAAAGGTATCTTCCAAGAGAATTCCATATACTCTTGATGAAATCCCAAAGTTTAGTCTTCAGGATCCACCTAACAAGAAACCGAAAGTCTAAACATGGCCATTTTTATTTGTGGTTATTTTGGTACTTGGGGAGAGCCAGTATCTTGTCTCATTAAGTAGTAAATGAACTAAGTGTTTTTAAGGAAACAAAAATATTTTTTAATCATCAAATTTATACTAGCTCTATGGGTGTTAGCATATCTAGTGATTATGTGTCTAGAATATTTTTTACATATTTTTATATTATTGTCAGCTCACTTGTTGGATAGATGGAAAATCAAGATGTTGGTTTAAATGGTGTTGATTTTTGGGAAAAAAAAATGAAACTTCACTTTTTAACATTACAAATTGTCCACAGATAGCACTTTAATATCATGTTGTAAAGGTGTAAAGGGAGGGAGGCACTTTGTTTCCCTGGACATTGGTTTACTTATATCATTAAATGTGTATTTTAAAGCCATGAAATCACTGTGATGGTATGTCTGGTCTGGTTAAATTCTTTGTTCCTTTTGTTTTAATGATGTATGTCATTAATTCTTTTTAACATGAGAAAAAAATTCTGTAGAACGGTCTGTTTTGTTCTTTATCTTGTAGCTTTCTTCGCTATTACTTTTGTAATCTGAGTAAAAAAATGTTATCTTTATTTTGCATTTTTATTTCTAGTTCCAATTCTATTTTTTCCCTTTATGCAAGAAAACCAATAAAATCTTAATGTAAATGGAAAGATTTTACAAGTTGCGTACAGCATACTTTACATTTATTTATTTGGGTGTGCATGTGCATACCACAGCATGTGTGTTGTCCATTAGTTCTCAGAGGACAACTAACGGGAATAAGTTCTGTTTCCATCATGTGGGTTCTGGGGATCAAATCAGGTCACGAAGCTTGGTGGCAAGCATGTTTACCTGCCGAGCCATCTCGCCAACCCAACATACCTTTTTGTTTTGTGGGGTTTTTTTGTTTGTTGTTTTTGAGTAAGGGTCTCCTATAGCCCAAGCTGCTGGGCTTGGAACTCAGAGATACAACCACCTGCTTCTGTCTCCCTAGTACTGGGATTCAAGGTGTGCAGCACACCCAACCCAGCATACCCTTTTTAAAAAAATCATTTTTAGGGGCTGGAGAGATGGCTCAGTGGTTAAGAGCACGGACTGTTCCTGCAGGGGACCCAGGTTCAATTCCCAGCACCCACATGGCAGCTACAAACCATCCTTAACTCCAGTTCCAGGGGAATCTGAAGCCCTCTTCTGACCTCTGCGACATTGCACAACGTGGGTGCACTCACATACATGCAGGCAATACACTGGTACACATAAAATAATTTTTTAAAAACTTATTTTGTATGTGTGTGTGTGTGTGTGTGTGTGTGTATACGCTGTACAGAGGTCAAAGGATAACTTTCAGGAGTCACTTCAGTCCTTCTACCATGTGGGTCCTGGGTATAAGACATGGGTGGTCAGGCTTGGTCAGGTGCCTTTTCTCACTGAGAAATTCTTGTGTGCCTTTCTGTCTGCATTTTTGTCTCTGGCTGACTTATATATGCAGTGATTGGGGTTGATCATGATGTCCATTTTATGCTGTGTGCTCTCTTGAGAATGTACACTTTCTTAAACAGATACCAGGCTCACCCTGTAGGAATTTTGTGATTGGGCAAAAATAGAAAGTCAAACGAAGATGAAGACAGACATCTGTAGGGATAAATGCATAAATTCAACATCTGCATCAACAGCTGTGGGTGTAGTTTTTGTCATGCTTCAAATTACAAGTTACTGTGATCTGAAAAAAATGACTTCCATTTTTAGAGTAAAAGGTATTACATCATTTTCAAGTGATACAAGAATGGGAGGGAATTCAGCAACTAAAGTAGGCACTGGCAAACCACCACACAGGAGCCAAATCTGGCCAGCCACATGGGAGCTAAGAGACTACACTTTAAAAAAAATTTAGGGCCAGGCATGGTGGCGCATGCCTTTAATTCCAGCACCTGGGAGGCAGAGGCAGGTGGATCTGGCCTGATCTACATAGTGAATTCCAGGACAGCTGGGGCTACAGGGAGACCCTGTCTCAAAAAGACCAAAAAAAAAAAAAAAAAATTTAGGGCTTGAGAGATGGCTCAGTGGTTAAGAACACTGTTCTTGCAGAAGACCCAGGTTTGAATCTCAGCACCCACCTGGCAGGCAACAACTGTCTGTAACTCCAGTCCCAGGGGATCCCACAGCCTCTTCTGTCCTCCGAGGGCATTGCGTGACTTGGGTGCACTTACTTACATGCAGGCAATACACATAAAATAAAAATACTAAATTCTTTTTTTTTAAGTTTAAGCTGGGTGTGGTGGTTCACACCTTTAATCCCAGCTCTCGGAAGACAGAGGCAGGAGGATCTCTAAATTCAAGGCCAGCCTGGTCTCCATAGCAAGTTCTAGGCTAGCCAGGCCTACATAGTGAGACTGTTGTTTAAACAAAACAAAAGGAACAAACAAACTGCCCCTTAATCTTTTCTCATAGGAAAGCATCACTGCTGCCTTCCCACTCTGATGCCAGGGCTGTCATGTACACTGGCACATGATCTCTGCATGCTTATATCTTGTATGCTTTTAAGCAATGTTAGAGCTTTAATAATGCACAACCTATATACAGTAAGAGAATAAATCACTACAATTTACCATTTTCCTAGCAGGATGCCTATTTTGAAATCTCAAAGATTCAAACACAGAAAAAGAGAGACTAGTACAATGACATCCTACACACCCACCACCCGATTCTAACAGTTCTTAACACTACGTTTTAGTACTTTCTACTGCGAACAGGCTTCAGAAAGTTGCAAGTATTATTTATCCTTTTCAAAAATCACTGATTTAATAAGAAAAAACTTTTATCACCTTCCTTTTATTTAAAATGTGAATATTAACATCCCCCAGGTTAAATAAGTCTACAACTTAATAAACAGGGACATACTAAACACCACATAGCTTAACAGAATCAACACCACCTTCTTAGCATGTTAAGAGTTAAAACGGCAAAGATGCTTAACTTGTAAACTTTATACGTTATTGACTGTTAAATTATATACGTGCTAGCTGTTTCTAATACCATCACCATCTGGAGACCAGGTATAAGTAATCTTGAACTCTATATCAGGTACAAGTTGCATAGCCCTATGATAAAACTTGGCTAAAAGAAGAAATAAAGCTAAATTAGCTATAACCACACATTTTTGTCATTTATTCTGATTACCCTTAACTGTAGTTTAATTTGGTAGACTTCTTTATGAATAGCCAAATTCTTCCTCTACATGCCACAGTAGCAGCTTACTGAACAAACTCATTTCCAAACCACACTGCTCCAAAGGTGCTTTCCTTCGAGCTTAGAGACTGAGATACATTTAATTCTTATCTTTTTGCTTTCCCATGTGTTTCCATGTCTCATTAGGATTTGACATGGTTGTTTCTTTGGGGAGCTCTAAAAATACAATTATTACAGCTCCAACAGAAGTACTTTTAAACAAATTTTTCTTTCTAGGTTCAGAGGTGAAGAAAACAAAATGCTGAATATAATAAAATGGTTTTTAAATCCATCCTTCAAATCTAATTTCCTTCAACTCAGTGTGCCCTCTTGTTTAGCTATATAACCTTGAACACTTGCTACGTTTACTTAAATTTTTATGTTTACTTTTGAGTGCCCGTGTTTCCTCCTATATGTACACTGTATGTGTACCCAAAGAGGCCAGAAGAGGGCAGCAGAACCCCTGGAGCTGGAAGGACAGGCAGCTGTGAGCACCAGTGAGCCATCTCTACAGCCCCATAAACCTTGTCACTTTCATTGTTGTTGTTTCTGGGTTTTTTTTAAGGTAAGGTCTTGCTTTCCCTGGTTAGCCTGGTACTACTCACTATATAGCTGAGTCTGGCCTCAAACTTGTGGCAAGCCTCTAAGTGCTGGGATTCTAAGTATTTCACCACCATGTCCTGCCCATATCCTGCTTTTCATAACTCTTCTGGACAAGTGGTTTATAGCTATAATATTCAATCATCTCTCCCCACTGGAATGTGGGAGTGCAGAAGCTGACTAGTTCTTTTGCTGCCTGATGAAGTCCATTCAATGTGCTACATTCTGCCACACTCTAGCATTCTGGGGCAAGTACTATGCATTGCATAGAGGTGGGAATCTCACAAAGCAATGAAGATTGCATACGGGACTTGACCAGATAAGACTATTGAAATCAATATAAAAATATCACTAGAAGAA